TCCTCGTTTTCCCGCCACTTTGGTTGAAATTTGAATTTTTCCACATTCTTTAGCCTTTTCTCCGGCTCAAGCTTCTTTACTGAAGCATTAATGCCACGATTATCAAATTTAATGAATTTTAATGCCAATTAAGGCCTTAATTTAAAAAATAAAAATAATAATTCAATGATTTTTAATGATTTTTAATGACCCGCGGAAACCCTGTAATAGGATAGTTAAAAAGGAAGAAAAGAAAACACCTACATGAGAGCATTTTGGAAACCCCAGCATCAGGGGGGCTGTCACCCAGTGATGGAGAACCCATAGCAAACATCATAGGAGGTGGGCTGTCTGAGATCTGAAAAACTTTATAACATCCAGTAGGTGGAGCTGTAGAGGTTAAAAAGAGGGTTAAATTAGATGGTAGAAACACTTAAAAGAGGAACAAACTGAATCACAGTAGGCAAACAAGGAGCACATCAAATGAAAGTGTGATGATGGGGCAGACGGTATTTGAGTGAATTTGCTTGAAGCTTCTGTACGTGGACGTAACGTTTGATGTTTCACCTGTCGTGTCAGTGCTGTTCTCCCAGCTGGAGTCCCGATCACGTTCTTCTTCAAACAGATTGGCTCCGAAGGCGGCTTTCAGGAGCATGTCAGAGAGCCTGCCGGTGCTGAGGGATCTGAACATTTGAAGCAGATTAGACACGTTGCTGTGCGACATGTTTTCTGATGAATGATTATTCCAAATGGGGTTTTCAGTTTAGGGACATCTCATTGTTTCTTTAATTTTTTAAATCAAAATGTTTTCAAACAGCGCTCTACCTCTTAAAGGGACCCTTTTTATTGGCCGACTTCCTGCTGATGTTATTGTTGAAAGCAGGAGATTGATCAAGGACTTGCAGGTTTGACATTGTCCTGGTTCGGTTTGGCTTCCTGGGTTGAACATTTTCCTGTAAAAGGAAAAAAGAAAAAGAGTTTTAATAACTTTTCCAACACAGTATTTGAACCGAGCAATAAGAAGTTGCCTTTTTTAGGAGTAACTCAAGTAATTTGAGAAAGACTTGGAGACATTTAGTCAGGGATCAGATCCAAAAAATAAATTCAGCTCTGCTCGACGATTCTTAGAAAGTGGAAGATTTTATTTTTTACTATGATACATAAAAACACACTTTCTCTAGCCAGAAGGTGTGTCTATTAAGATAAATTAGATTAATGTTAGAAACATATGTTTGGATGCATAAATTAGCACAAACCCGTGAGCTCTTCAATTTCTGCTTTATTTCAAACATCTAACGACAAAAACGTAGCATAGAGAAGCATCTTTTTTCTTTTATGTAATAATCCTTAATAAAAACAGACATGTGCCACGAAAGAGGACTGATGGGTGGATGTTGGGAAAGTGGTTGAAATGGATAAAATGATGTGCATTATTTTGGGAAATTAGCTGACCTTGTGGCTTGCGGTGACCTGTCCATCAGGGGAAGCAGTCAGCTGTCCAGTTCTTGTGCTGACGGGGAGAGTCTGCTCAGAGGCCTTAGGGGTCATTCCAACTAAAGCAAAAAGTATCAAATAACTCTTATTATATCATTATCTTTATTAGATGAAGCCTCTTTTCCCCTCCCAATCTTCATGATGAGCGTCAGGTTGTCAGACTGGGAAGATTTTATCAGTCAATGAGCCGAGGAATCACAAATTAGTTCTGTCGCCACGTATTCGATCTTTCCCACCCAAAAAGAGGGAGCAAGGTTTGTGTTTTTGAGCTATTAAACATCCCCTCTAAACAAAATGCCCCTGCTATTGTGTTGTTTTTTTTGCACCTACCCAGTTTAATCTTTATTCTTCCTACAAAACAAGGTAAAATGTGTTCATTGCAGTTAAATACATTAGTTTGAGAAGAAATGTCACAAATGAAATGCTCTTCAAACTCTAAATTCAAAGAAATAACATGAAGTGATAACCCCACTTATTCCAAATAAAGATGGGATAGATTCCTTGATTATTTTCACTCCTGTTTTGCTGGTATGCATTCCAAGTGTATCCTCGGGTGTACAGCATATGGAGTGCATTTTGTTTGGATATTTAGCAATGCAATTTAGCATGTTTTTTAAATAAAAATAAAAAAAAAAGAAATCCAGAAATAAAACACTGAAAAAAGTAAAAAAAAAAAGAAAAAATAGTTTTTTAAAATAATTATGCTGTTTTCTCAAATATTTTCATTTCAAGCAATTCTTAAAATTAGTTTTTCATATCAAATTTTTATTTTATTTTTATATACAGATTTTATATTTTTGACCTTTTTTCCTTAAATTGCTGTTTTTTTAGATGAGGTTTTCCATATTACATTCTTTTAAAATTGTTTAACAGATCACGTTTTGTTGACTTTAAGCCCAATACAGTTTCTTGCTCTTGACACAAGTATTTACCAATAAAAATGTTGCTTTTAACATCTATGCAGACCAAGTGAAATGCATCTTAGCTCATAACTCGAGAGATTAGCACGCCACCAGAAAGTAAAGAGTGCGATCTGTAAAACACAATTTAAAAATAATGCAATATGTTAAACTCAATCAGAAAAACAGAAATAAAAAAAACATAAAATCTGTATAGAAAAGTTTAATTAGATAATATAATGTATGTTTATTTATTTAAAAATATATACCGGTGTATATATATTTGAAAAAAGAAAGAAAAAGTAAAAAACAAAATAGCAAAGTTACTCAAAAAACCTTTTTTATTACATTTTTAAAAGTTTCATTTCTAGATTGCATTTTTAAAAATTCCATTTACAATAATAATGGATTAGATTAGATTAGATTAGATGAGCTTTAATGATCTCACAGCAGAGAAATTCACTGGTCACATATTGGCATAGTAATTAAAGAAGGTGCAAAGAAGGAGGAAAAGGTGCATTAAGAATAGACAAGCAGTTAAATTCCCTCTATAGGCACACAGTTGTCATTCCAAGGTTTGATAACTAACAACATGAAAGACATGCTATCTGCCATCTCTGAAAATGGCTCGTAATACAGGAAGAAAACAAGACAGGAATCTGATTGGCTACCTGGTGGGGAGGACTGTTGTGGTTGCGCTCCTCCTTTTGCCAGCTTTGGGACGTTTGAAACAACACCTGGACACGAAGCTCTACGGCGTCCACACTGCAGGGGCGCCACACTGACTGGGTGCAGGTTCTGCGCCATACGATGGTAGTTGTGAATCTGGGTTGGGACTGGAATGGGGACCGATGGGCTGCAGCCATTTAAGGTAACGGGACTGCTGGGTGTGATAAAAAAGGATTGTGAGGTTAGACTGATTTAAGGACTGATTTAACACTTATAAATAAAAACAAATGAAGAAAGATCGAGACCTGCACATTTTAATTTTACCTAACAGGCTTAGAGGGAGAATGCAGCAGGGAAGGAGGTAATGTTGTCCTTCTCAAGGATGCAGAACCTCGCCTGGTCAGCTGAGACCTCCTGAAAGGATTGTTAGAATAAACATGCGTAATGGTTCCAGACGATAACAAATTCAATTTTAAGTCAAATGCGTGAGCAATGAGGGTGACTCACCCATTGTTTTTCAAGCATATTTCAGTGGGTGACCCATCTTCCAACTCACTTATGTAATCCGCTAAAAAACAGAAGACAAAACAAAAGGAACAGATCAAATCAGACCAGCAGAGGGGAAAAAAAGGTGAAATTGATAAACTAATATATGAACTCATGGATGCTCACCTGTCATACTGGAAAGCTCAGCTGGCACCATGACGTAATCTTCAACACACGGCGGTGGGCTTCTCCTGCCTCGAGTGGCTTTGGCTTTGCACTGCAACCCAGTGGTTTGGTGTGTCGGCAAGCTCGGCTCTTTGGCCTCAAGCTGGTGAAGTTCTCCATCGGAATGCTGAGAAATAATTAAAAAAAATTAAAAAGGGGCACAAATATATTTGCCCAAATTTTGCTTTACTGGACCTGACAGAGAAATGTTGTCTGATCACAGAGAGAAGATCACATCTTTTTTTAATTGTGCGACAACAGCCTTTGGTGTGGATGTTGTTACTAAGAGGAAGCTATTTGCTACCTTCTGCTGTCTTTCATGCTCAATATATGATGCCACTTGTGGGGCCTTACACATAAGAGTGTGTAATTTTAATATTATTAAATGTTAACATTAAATTTGAGGCTTGTAGCCCAGAAAAAAATGTTAAAGCATATCTTTGCTTTATTGAATAAGCAAAGGCTGCATGAATAGCTTTGACTGACCAGGCCCCACCCCTGAATACATATGCAAACTAGTTTAATTAGGCAAAAGGCTTCAAGTCCAATTAACCTTGCTAATGGTGTAAATAGCACAAACATTGCAAATAAGATGGTTATATGTTGACTGAAATGTTTTATACTAACAACTAAAAAAGCAGAATGATGTTAGGTTAAATTGAAGCGAGGTTGTCTCCATCATTTTTTGAGGTGTGTTATAATATTTTATTAGACTTTTCAGATTCATTGTTCAGGTTTGAACTAGATCTGCAACTAATGATATTTTTTCTAATCGATAACATGTCAATTATTTTTTCGATGAATCGACCAATAATTGGTTAGCAAAAGGTTCCTTTAAGAAGATTTTTTGCAGAATTAAACAAAGTTAAACGAAAGGAGTTCCGGGTAGAACATATTAACAAATGAAAATATTTTTATTTTTTTTTTTACCTTAAATGCAAAAAGTGTATATCAAATTCATAAACAAAATATACAATTACTGCTCTGAGTGGATTTTCTCTGTCAGCTAAAGGTAAGATTTAGTCTCTATACTCCAGTTAAAGATTATTCGATTACTAAATTAGCTGATGATTATTTCAATAATCGAAATATAACGATTAATCCGATAGTATCAGTCCTAGTTTAAATAACAACAGATCAAACTACTAAAAAAAAAGGTGGGCTCAGTGCTAATTATGAGTAATTAGTCATATCTTTGAGGATTAGGGGGAGTTTTAAGACTTTGTGGTTTGTTGTTGTCGGTTGAAAATGTTTGGGCTGATTTCAGCAAACTTTCATGCCAAGTTTATTTTCCCAAGTCTTGTGTGAAACGTTGCATCGCAGGGAGTTGTTCTTTTGGGCCTTTGGAATAAAATTCATAGTCACATTAAATCAGAGCTTCAAGTATCATATTGGACACATCTGTTGCATCTGAGTTTTGTATGCAGATAAAAATAAAACATTTTGCGACATGGCAACTTCTCTATTTTGAGCTGTGCCTTTAGAAGAAACGGAAAGTAAAGGAATAAACCAGAGACACTTCGATATATTCATTTATTACTACAGATACCTATAATCAATAATGGGGAGGATTTCACTTTTTTGGAAGATTCTTTACAACAGCTTCTGTTTTTGCAGGAATCATTTTATTTTTCCCACGAACAATCAAATATTACGTTTTCAATGTTCTTTTTTGTTTCTGCATTTTAAATCTTTTTTTTCCTACTTGCTTTGATTCTGCTTTATTTCCTATATTTTAATCATGTAAAGCACTTTGCATTGTCTTTATACTGAATTGTGCAACACAAATAAATTTGCCTTGCCTAATTCATCCAGAAACCATAAAAAGAAATTTCACTGTAAGGTTGCAGCTGTAGAACATCTCTGATCAGCGCTTCTCTGATAACCACAGGGAAATAAAAGCATCTCATGTGTTTCTAAAAAGCAAATTTTACTCAATACCACATTTTACAACGACATTTCTGTCCAACACAGAACATACTTGAGGCGAGGCGAGCTGAGATGTGGAGGAGCTGCTGCAAGAGCTGCCTGAGCCAGAATTGGTGTAGGAGATCACAGGGGAGGGTGAACCTGTCAAAAAACACAGACATGCTTGTGTTAGCAGAGCTTCGCTGCTGCCAAAACAGAGGGTGATGGTTTGAAAAGCATGATACGCACATTTTTTACTCTGCGAACTCGACTCCAGGAAAGGATGGTGGAAGAACTCCTCTGCAATTGTAAAAAAATTGCATATAACACTTTTGATAATTAAAGAATAACTACGAGAGCTTAAAAAGGCGTAACCTTACCAAAACTCATACGCGTTTTGTGATTCCTCTGTAGAAGCCCCAAAAGCAAGTTTCTCAGGTTTGCTGAAGTTTCTTTAGGGATCCTACAAAAAAATTAAAAGCAATTATTAGTTTATTTTACTTCACAGCATACACTAATTAACTCATAAAACGGGAATTGTAAAGCCAGCCAAGCCAGTAAAAAGCAATGCAGTGACAAGATTTATACAATATAACCTGCAGTGATTTAAACATATCAAGCCTTATAAAAATTGTTTTCTGAATATGTGCAAGAAATTCTTTCTCTAATTAATGTCTTCAGCACAAAAGCTGTCGGCAGCATGACGCAGGCTGTGCCTATGTGTACGCTGAGCTATGTGGGTCATGTGGAAAAAGATCGCCGCACAGACCATTAGCTGGCATCTCAGAGCGGGTTATATATAGAGGGAGAAGAAAACAAACTATGCCTCCTCATAGAAAAACACAGTCTATCTTATCATGGAGCTTAATCATTGCATAAGATAAGCATGGCTGTGAGCCATAGACTGGTTAGTAAAGGACAGCGTTCACAAAGTAAGCAAACAGCCCATAAATCCATCTGGATAAGTTCCAGGTTTGGGTTCTTCAGTTTTAAAAAAAACAACAACAAAAAAAACTTTTACTTTTTTTTTTTTATATTCTGAAAATATTGTATCTGGTTTAATATTTCTACATAAAAAAAAATGTGGAATTCAATAGATCATGCAGAACTTTCTAGACCTGATGGATCCCATCAGCTGTCTGTATCAGTTTCTTCCACATCAGGACTATTTTTAGTGCTGCGGTAGGGCTTATTAACTGACTTCTAAATATATCTGTGGCAGTGTGTGTGAGACTTGCAACTATCTAAACCTGGGGCACATATGCACACCGGACTGTTATTCATTAGCAAATGGAGTGTGGATGTGGCAGAGTTTCCAGTAATGCCGGCTCCTATCGTCTTTCCCGTGCATTGTGTTTGTGCACCCATCGGTGTAGGGGAGGGAAGGTCAGGAAGACGTGCTCTAACCTGGGTAACACAGTTTCGTTGCTTTCATAGAAGAGGCGGAGCTCCTGTGGTGAGCTGGCCTGAGCAGAAAGAAAAAATAACAAGACTTAATTCAAAAATAAAAGCACGGATAGAAAGCAATAGGTTGCTATGTGATATTGGGAGACAACACAATGCGACAAACACAATGCAATATTGTGGGATTTCTTCCATTTCAAGATACCATACATTTCCAACTTAAGTCTAGATTTTTAACAACATTTTTCTTACATTAAAAATCTAACCTTTTTTCATGCGAAAGCTTATAAATGGATGTTTTTCTCCCTTAGGTTTCTTAGAGCAAAACCCAAATGGCATAAATTGCCTTCAAAAACTAACTTTTATCCCTAATTATTCCCTGTGAGAGGTGGAAATCGTTTCAAGGATAACCGCAGCTGAGATGTGAAACATGCTTGTATGATGATCATATTTAACAGGATATAAGGAAAATATAACTAACAAAATGTTTGCAGTGGTATTATACCATGAGATAGTTTATCATATACTAATAACTGATGTCATTTTAACCTATGGAAGACAAAGGAGTGCATTGGGGGGAAAAAAAAACAAAACAAAAAAAAAACACATATTCCACAAGTTAAATCTTTTATCAATAAAATGTATTAATTGCCCAGCCCTTACTAGGACTAAATGCAGATAAAAAAACAAAACAAAAAAGATATCTCTCTGAGCACATTTGAAATACTTCTTATTGTTACTAATCCAAATGTAAAACCAACAAAACAAAATTTTTTTTTCTAATTATAAAGCGACATTTTAGCAAAGTATTTTCCAAAGAAAATTATCTTTAAAAAAAACACCTTTTTTAATTTAACCAGACCTTAAAACAATCGGAAAATCAATGAAACACTAGAAAAAAAGAATAAATCACTTAATCATATTACTTAAACATTTCATTTTTCATTTAGCAGACCTCTACGTGCTGTTTACCAAGTTGCTTTATTTTCTTTTTGTATCTTGCATTTACTTTCTATTAGTGCTGTCAATCGATTAAATTTTTTTAATCGCGATTAATCGCATCAATGCCTGAGTTAACTCGCGATTAATCGCATTTTAATCGCAAATTTTTTTTCTGATTGAAAATCATTTAAATACTCTCGATGACATACAAAAAATACATACAGGCTAGGTTTGTGCCAATGTTCTTTTCTTAAAATAAAAAGAGGTCACAGACACTGATTTATGCCATAGAAACATATGGCAAGAAGATGGGGAGGCATGTAGCAAAAAATAACAAATATGTAGCCAAAAAAAAGGCCCTGAAAACAGGCTGATGTAAAAGACAGTCTTTACAGTTAATACAGTCTTTTGAACAAAGACAAGCATTTTACCCTACTGCTATAAAATGTAGTACAGTTAACATTAGATGTTAATTAACCAAGATAATAATGAACAATTTTCAATCAATACAGCAAAATCAATAGACCGACATCACTAGATGGAGGTAGTCTATGCTCTAGAAAGTTACTTTTCAGCCTCTTAACAAAAATGAGAACACACACACCCACCGACCCACACACAGACACACCCACCCACACACGATACCGACCTGTGGCGTACACAGACAGCAAGAGTGCCATAGCAGATTCCATTTCACCTCAGTAATCTGTTTTCTCAGCGTATTTCAGGTTGCTACTAGTCACCAGACACTCAACTTGTTTGTTGGTGGTGGGGCTTAAAGAAAAGGCACTAGCGCTACCCAGTGTATGAGCGTCTTTTTTCCTTGAGGAGCTCCGCTCTCGAAGCCTATGGAAAACGCATACACTGGGGGAAAATAGCCCCGCCTTCCCGCAGGCTGCAGCGGGATGTACTTGGAAAATTGTACCATAAAACCACATAGCGTTAATCTCACGTTAAAAAAATTATCGCCGTTAAAATGGCCTCGCGTTAACGCGATAATAACGCGATAATTTTGACAGCACTACTTTCTATAGCTGCTTTTCTTTAAAGGTATACTATGCAACCGGTGTTGATTTTCCAGTGAGGCTCCCCCCAGAGGGCGAAAGTAAAAGTGCACTGTTGTAAATATGCTCAGCTGTTCTCCTGGTTTCTCCGTCAAGCCAGGCGCGGTTGTTTTGAGCTTAGCAGACAGGCGAACGCAACGAATCACTATGTCTACTGCGGTAAGTGATTATTTTGTTCCAATTTTCGAGTTTGAAAATTTCGCTGGTTTTCATACATTATTTGTTATGCATGTGCTTTCGCTGTTTTCTCGCTGGTTCCGTCATGATAACTGCACAAATATTACCCCTGCGCTAGCAACGAGCATGCCTTTCACTGGGGGCGTGTAGCAGTTCTCGCCGTAAAGCAAGACAGACTCTCGCGATGCGCGAGACTTCTGGGCCTGTGGGTGCGGACCGAGGGCTCCTGCAATTGCAAGTACGGTATTTCCCCTCCAGACCACCAGGGCGGCCGAGAAAACGTTTGTTCGACCTGAAATGACTCATTTAATCATCCAAAACGTTATGGAACACACTAATTAACTGAAAAATGTTGCATAGTATGCCTTTAAACTGGGTAACTAAGTTTCAGCTTGTGTATTAGATATTGTATTTCCTTCAAAAACAAAGTTCCTTTTAAAAATGAATTCCATTTAAAAAAACAAAAACAAACTTCTGATTTAAAAAACAAAGTCTACATTTCCACTGTGGAAAAGTCCGCTACAAAACAGTGTTTATCTCTGCTGATAGCGTCCATCGCAAAAATCCTTTTCAGGTCCAGAAAGGACTCAGTGAACACTATCAAGATGTACGCTGAATTATTTTAGCATCAACATATTGAGTTTTTCTGGTGTTTTTTCTTATAGGTATAGTACATGACCAGGCCCCTTTAAAGTAGCAACTGTGGGAAAGAAACACAGACATGATGTGTTTAAAGATCCCAGCAGAGACAAACTGGAAGGTTTGCCAACTAAGGCGGCCAGATAAATATCAGACGCAGCAGCTAACTACAGAGTAACCCTTGGACTTAGCACAACCCAATGACCCCCCAGGCAGGAATAGACAATAAACGTCACTATCATACAGGAAAGTGGAACAAAAATAGGTTTGTTTCTAAGCCAAAAAATCTCTCTTACTTATAGTGCAAAACTGCTAAGGACTCCAGAAGAAAAACAAAACTGAGATAAAACTGTGTCTCAGTTACATCAGAGCCAGTCTGTAAATAACAGTTCAAAAGTCTGACGACAGCAGCCCTGTGAACAGAAGAAAGCAATAGGTGGGGTTGTGAAACGCCGTTTATTCTGGGTTCGGAGAAGAGGCTGGTGGTGGCCCTATCCATAAATAAGCCTCATTACTTGGAAGTAGTCAAGCTGCTCCAATATTTTCCATCTTACAACACGGATCCCATAGACATGTTGTTTATCATGTCTGAGTTGAAGAGCATCTCCTTACTTTGTGTATTCTAAGGGAGACATTAGTTACTTAGTTTGCCCTCCATAAGAGCTAAAGTAAAACAATGACAGAGACCTCAGAGAGCTTTAGTAAATAAAGGAGTTTAAATCTATTATCTTGTGTTTATGCGACTTGAGGTTTGACTCACGTGAAAGGGGGCTTTTCCAGTCAGACATTGGTATACAATAGTGCCTATGCTCCACAGATCGGCCTTGGCATCATAGTTTTGGGACATGATGACTTCAGGAGCCTGCAGTCAGACAAACACTGTTCACTGCTTAAGGGCAAAGTGACATTACAACCTGCTGGCACTGGAAAGCAGAGCAATAACTTACCATGTACATGGGCGAGCCACACAGAGTGGCAGCCATGGTGTTTATCTGGAGGTGCCGTGCAAATCCAAAATCAGCTGATGGTTTGATAAAACAAGTGGAGATAAGAGTATCAACAACACCAACATTTAAATCTATTTCTGAAAGATATCTTTGGGTCGATGCTATTACCGATCTTAAAGCTGGTATTTATGGAACTGGACTTGCGCCCTTCTGGGTGGCTGAGTAAAATATTTTGGGGCTTGAGGTCCCTATGGAGGATGCCTTTACTCTGCAGGACTTTCATGGCTTTAGCAATCTGCTGCAGGAACACCCGGATGGTATCCTCACTGAGGGTTCCTTTGGCTGTTAAAGAAGAAAAAGTACAGTATAATTAACAACAAGATATTTGATATTTGGTCTCCATCCCTCCCAACAACATCAGATATTATTTATACCACTGCAGCTCCTGGGATAAGTGATGGCAGTGGCAATGGGGTGAGGTCATACGGCTGCTCCCTGGACCTTCCCAAATGTGAATCAGTATGGCAAGCCGTTTTGGCATTTATTAGAAGAGCTGTCCTCTCTTTTGTTCCATTTGTAGATAAGATTCGTCCTGGTCAAAACTACATTCTAACCATTCAGAACTGTATATCCTATCCTAAGTTATATTTTTACCAGCAAGAATGAAAAAAATCAGGATGCAAAAAATATAATTGTACTATTAAGAATAAACTTTCAGATACCTAGAAATCTTTACAAATTTTAGGTGGCCATTTTAACTTTTATTAGCTTGACTGAATATGTAATCCAAATGTCTCAAATCCATTCCTTCCTAGTAAAAATTAACATTTGAGATATATAAAACAACATTTTTTCGATCTAAAATAAAATTTTCAGATATGTTAAATGTAATTCTTACTATTAGAAATGTAGCCCAACAGATTATGTTTCAAAAGTACATCATCATGGCAAAAAAACAGGACACACAAACCACAAAAAACCATAACAAAAAGGGAGTGTGTGGAATAAACAAGGAATAACTACAGGTATAAAAACATCCAAATCAAAACCTATGAAATTACATGTTATTTAGAGCTATAGATAGTTTTAGCTGCAGATTAGTATTTAGCTTAAACGTTATATTTATCAACACCTGGATCAAAACACCTGTGGTGTATACGCATCAGTGTGCTTGTATTTATAAGGCTTGTTTGACAGGAGGATATGCTCATTGGCAGCTGTGAGGGGTCCAAGATCTATCCGCCCCAAAGAGCCAAAGGCCAACACAGTTTAAATTTATCTTGGTTAAGTTTTTTTTTTAAATAAAGTTAGATTATTCACACACAGACTAATCTAAAAGCTATGGTTAGTCTCATGTAGTCTCTTGTCCCAAAATCCTTCTGTTCCTTTAAAATTTCTAAATAATCCAGGCAACAGTTGCAGATTCCCTAAAAAAATCATAGCAAAATACCTTAATTAAAAAGCTAAAAATGATCTGTTTTATACTTTGTGTTTTAATTCTAAGGAAGGAAAGTAACTGAAAACAAAACAAATAATTGGATGAATTTTCAGCTTTGTGTTGGGGCAGACTTACTTTGAAGATACTCAGCCAGGTCACCTCCATTGCAGTACTGAAAACAAGCCACAGACATGTTTCAACAGAAACCTTGACACTGCGGTACAGTCCTTTTGGAGGTGACATGATTTGCATTTCAACATAAAAAAATAGACCATTCAGCATCAGCACCATTCTTTTCTCTTCTCACCTCCATTATGAGATAAATACATCCTCCCACCTCCTGTTGACACAAAAAGTACAAATGATCAAGACATCTTTTTTCAATACAAATGAAATGAATAATAACTAAAAGATGAATAAATAGACAAAATGAATGTTTTATTCATGGATTGAAATGGGGAATTAATTAAACAGTCTCTTAAAAGCTACACTGAGTGTTATACAACAAGTGACAACACCTCATGTTTTGGAAGGAGCTGACTAGTTTTATTGGCCCGCCACCTAAGAGCTTCTTAACATTCTCTACCAGTATAGGAGCGAACCCAGGAGCTGAAACTAGATCCACCTAATGCAGACGTCCATCTCTGAGCCCCTGAATCATCCAGGACTCTTTCACAGCTTATTTATTGCCCTTACAAGAAAAATAGAAACTGTGGCAGGGGAAGTTATATCCAGAGAGGTAGAAGGGGGTGAAGAGTTTAGGTTGACTGTACGGAATGACATGAGTGAAAAAGCAAGTCATACAACCCAGTTAACACTACTTTGGATGTTGTCACACTTTAAGTCAGGCACAATTGTAAGAACAAAACACCTCATTGCCTGTACTGTTGAAAAAACACATAAAAAACCCTTCAAGACTGCCATTAACTTTGTGCGATGGTGTTTCTCTGCTATGAGGCTACACTCAGGCTGTTTTTATTAGCTATTGTTTGAGTTGTGGCCCCCGCCATCTGTTGGACATTGTAGCAGATCAGCTTAGCCTACAGTCTGCCAGGTGTCAGTAAGGTGATAAGAGGAACGCTCACACAAAGAGGGCAAACTTAGATCCAACAGATGGTTGATGTTGTGTAATATGTTCACCCAGTGCATATGGGTTTAGGTATCAAAGATCGGCAGTCCAATAATCCCAGTAGTCTGAACCAGGGGACTTCAATGCCAGTCCTGGATCTTTAAAACGCATCTCTGGTCAAAACACCAGAATAAGTGCAAGACACCAGCTGGAGGACCGGAGTTAAAGCTCTTCGGACTAAACCATATATCGAGATAAAAGTGGCTTTATAGTTTTAGAAGCATCTCGGATTGATAGCCTCCACTATGGCTTGAGTAGGGATGTAAATCACACCCATCATGGCGATTCAATTCAGTATCAATTTCCTGACACAGCGATTCGATTCTTTTCGATACTCAAGAATACACCACGATTCGATTCGAGTAATTGGTTGATTTATTTTTTTTACATTACAGGCTAGACACTGTATGAAATCTGAAATAAATCATTGAAAGATGTAATATTTTTATGCAATTTATTTGAGAAACAACAGCAAAGTTGTATTTCACCTAGGCTTATGAAAACCTCATTCAATGGAAAATAATAAAGCCTCTGTTATAGATTCTGAAAGGCCTTGCATCAAAAAATACTGCAAGCGGAAAGAGGGTAGTGGCTAAAGGAAGCGAGGTAGGAGGGCAAAATTGGTTTAGCGCCACCGTAGCATGAGAGTCAGAATTACGTCCAGGAGCAAATGGATGAAAATAGACCGGATGCATCAGATCGTCGGCTGTTGGATCGATGCATCGATACAAAACGATTATTATTTACACCTCTAGGCTTGAGGCAGCCATTCTTGCACTGCTTAAGTAAGTGGCAGAACCCATTCAAGGCACAAGTAATCCAAGTCTCCCCCACCAAAAGGGGACACCCAAGAGCACCAGTCTGATCAATCAGATTTATGAATAAATTATTAATAGATCAGTATTAAATAAAATTAAACAGAGTATCTTGTTTAATAACTTTTATCCATTTTTTAAGAAGCCACAAGTAGATAGACACAACAAAAATAGTGACTTGAAGAACTACAGGTATATCGTTAAATGGAATATGATGTGTCACGCCCTGCGATGAACTGGCGACCTGTCTAGGGTGTGCCCTCTCGCCTGTAGACAGCTGGAGATAGGCACCAGCACCCCTCGCTACTCCAACTGGGATAAAGCGCTACAGTAAATGGATGCATGGATGGATGAATGATGTGTCACGTCACACACCATTTAGCTGTGTTGTTCTCTAGTCTCGCGAACAAGTACGTCTATGTGAAATAGCTGCACTCACAGCTTAGCTCCTACCTGCTCAGACGCATCATGAGGCTCTCTTGCTAACAGCATTTTAAAGTTATGAGGTACTTGTTCACTAGAGATGTCACTCTGAAAGGTGATGCCATTTGTTTTTGCATTTCTCCGCTGCAAATATAAGCATTGGAAACAATGGGGGAGATGTGTGGCTGGGGTGGAGGTAGAGAGGTGTTAGCCTGTCACACATCTTGTCTATGGTCTACAGACAGTACTCAATTTAAATGTAAATTTTCACTAAATGCTGCTTTAAGGACAGCATAAACTATGTTCACATGTACATTTCCTGATCAGTGTGAAATGTACATAGACTCAGAAACAAAAACAAATAAATTAATATTATACCGTTAATATGCATGTACGGTAAGTAATAAAGCAGCCGATCGGACTAAATCAATTAGTCAAAACATTCCAGCTATAATATTCTGGCAAATCTCTTGCCACTCAAAGGGGAAATGGGTCATGTTGATGTGTGGTGTATGTTTGCACTCAGGTCAACTTGTCTCATTCAGAATAACTTGATCCTGGATGGCGATTGGATTGTCAGTTATCATAAACCAACCCTCTGGGTCGGATTTCAGTTTCATTTCGATCCTGCATAACCGATCAGAATTTTCTGACAGGCGAGTTTAAATGACGTATTTTAGATCGATCTGCCCCTGAATACAACCAGTTATCTCTATGTAGTATAGATGCTCTGACCTATTTAAAAATATTAATAATTTAACCTGCATTGAATAGGAGTTTTCTATGCAAGAGGATTAGGGCCACTAAAAAAAAAAAAGGTTTACTGAACTGAATTTTAAATATTATTTCAGTTTGATGTGGGGAAAAAAGTCAAGAATTCTGACTTTAATCTCAGAATTCTGGATCTTAATGTAGATGGGCACCATGAAGGAAGAGATGTGGAGCACTCAGCTTCACTGACAACAATGTGAGTTGTTTGGGTGGGCAGTAACAAATAGGTGGAAAATGATGGAATTAGATGAGTTTTTATGTGCCTGAGGGGTCCCCGGTGATGCTATTTCATTAATGGAAGAGCAGAAGGTGATTAAAACAACAGAGCTAGTTAAGTCTCTAAAAAAGACATGGCTATGGCTTGATGCTAATATGCTTGTTAGCTGTTAGAATGTTCTGAGATTAAAGTCAGAATTCTGAGAAAAAAGTCAGAATTCTGAGATTGAAATCTGAATTCTGAGAAAAAATTATGAATTCTGACTTTTTTCTCATATACTGAAATAACATTTAAAAATCTGTTAACTTTTTCAGTGGCTGTAATTCTCATCCATAGTTTTCTTCTTTTGTTTCTCTACGATCATAATAATATCAGAGTTTTAAAGGGGAGATAAAATAGACAAAACTGCTATTTCATTAATGGAAGAGCAGAAGGTGATTAAAACAACAGAGCTAGTTTAGTCTCTAAAACAGACATGGCTATGGCTTGATGCTAATATGTTTGTTATCTGTTAGAATATTCTGAGATTAAAGTCAGAATTCTGAGATTGAAGTCAGAATTCTGAGATTGAAGTCAGAATTCTGAGATT